AATAGTTGCAGGAAATGTAATGCTCCTCTAAGACCTTGTATTGAAGCAAAGAGGGAGAGTAATGAAGAAGCCATGATCTAGAAAACGCTTCAGATCATCAGATCATAGAATCTCAGGATACAGTATTAACCCAAGATGGAAGAAGATACAACCATCGGAATAAGATTAGAAAGTATTAATTGGAAATGAATAAACTTCCAGTGTTGAATGAGCTATTGTTTTAAGAGTCAGGCTTTATTTTTTTTATGTTCTTATAATTGAGTACCTTCATTCGATTGACTGATGCCTTCTATAGCATCTCTACAATAAATAAATTATTAAAATTTCACTCAGTAGAGCTGAGTGAAAACTCATCTCTGTTCATTGTCTCCTGAACTAAGCGAAACACTGATTATATTCATTCATAATAAATTGTCTCCAAGAATGATGGAGTGTCAGAAATTGTACCATCAGTGCCAAGATCCAAGGCTATTAGAGAAATATCTTCCCCTACTGATTTGTATATTCTAGAGAAATGTTATTAACTAGTTTCCTGCAGGGTTGACATCAGGACATTGGAGTATGTGTTGGCTCTTAAAATGTAATTGCTCCAGTAATGAAATGATTTGTATTGTTTATTGCTGTAAATGAAATTTTGGTTGAGCATTTGCTTGTTGGGAGGATATTTTTACATATCCTTGTTTTGTTATGTTAACTATTAGCTTAAGCTTAAATTTAGAATTGTAAGCAACTAATTTTGTATCATGTTTACATTTGAAAAACAGAAGTATCATAAGACCTTTCCTGGTAGATGAACACATTGTCTAATTAGATCATCTTCTCTGTATTATATTAGAAACACATAAACACAGAAAACAAGCCTATTTTCCTAGTGGTGACTTTATGAAGAATAAAGATTGTCTTTTGGATCTACAATATAAAGCAGTTATAATAAATTGAGCACATAGAAAGCCACCCAATTGAAAAACACTACTCAATACTGATAGGAATTCAACTGAAAATCAGCAACTCAAATAAAGGCTTTCAAAGTAGTAAGTTAATATAGTACAGCCTCAATTTCTGAGTTCATAAATACTACAGGTATCTTCCTAGCATATTTTGGCTACTCTCTCTCTAGCCTGCTTAGAGTTATATTTTACATTGTTATTACAATGTGAAGCTCTATTGTATCTTCTAGTCCTTGGTCTTTATTACTTCTCTATTCTCTGCTTGGGCAATCCCACTTCTATTTTCAACTTTGCTACTTATTTTATTTCAGCTTCTGTGGAATACTTTAGCTTGATAGTCTTGCTATATGTTCATATATGTAAGCCAAAACACATCACTCTTTCTATCTTTAAATAACCCATACTAAGTGTTTTCAAAACTAAACCTGACAATTTTTATTAAATTCACTTGTTTTTCTGTATTATTTACTTAGGTATACAAGTTCTAGAGACAAGTGAGGAAGAAACCAGTTTAACCACTGGGATAAAATCAATGTCAACACATTGAATTGCAATCTAGAACTTTCCTTAAGCATGCATTTGTTCTCAGTATTTATGTTTATACTATTTTTATACTGTTTTAAATAATGTTGACATTTTTGCTTTTTTCTATGTCAATATTGATAATATTTATTGTATTAAAAGTATCCCTTTTATTCAAATTTTAAACATTATAGCCCTAAATTTGTTTAAAATATATTTCTATATATCTGTAGTTTAGTTCCATTTATACTTATGCATATTTTCAAAAAATTTATTGGTGTGAACAAAAACATTTTTAAATTAGCAGTTGGTATTATCTTTGTATTTTTTGCTTTATACTTTATTTATGATGTAATCTAATGTTCCCCCTTTGTGTATTTTTGAGTTTACTTTGTTCTTATCCTAGCTGCTTAGTTGAATTCCCTGTTTGAATTTTTAAATATATTTTTTTTCTCTTTTTGATATATGATTAGAAAGCTGTATTTTGAAATGCATATACTAGTCACACTTCACAAGATTTTATAGGCAATATTTTCATTGCAGTTTATTTTTAAGTATTTAATAATTGGCTTTGTAGTTTCATCTTTATTTCATGAATTATTTAGAAATAAGATTTTTATTTTCTCAACATGTGAAATATTTTTTATTCTTTGTTAATTTTTAATTTTATTGCCCATAGTCTGAATAATTGCTCTCCATAATATTAATTCTTCAGTATTTGTTGACATTTTCTTTTTGGCCTATGTATTAGATAAGTTAATACTTGCTCTGAAACCTCAAAAGTCTTTATTCACATGAAAATGCTCCAAATAAGAAGTGCATTTAATATTGTAAGATATTTCTGTATAGTGCTAACCCACTGACAGGTGAGGGGCTGGAGAATTGTTCCATATATTTGTATGTGCCAAGCTTGGAAATATTTTCATCAGTTGCACTACTTTTCTGTGGTTGGAATTCACTTACATTGCCCACATGAATGCAGGGGAGACTGGAAATGTAGTCTCATCTTGTGACTGGGAAGACAGGGACCTAGTTCAGGAAGAAGCTAGTTAGTGTTGGCCAACCTATGTCCTCGTCAATTTTTATAAATGCTCCAAATACATTAGTAAGAAGAAAATCTATAAGCTAGCTCTGAGGTTTAATACCTCATGTTTGAGGTCATTTATTATGTTCTTCAGATCTTAACCATATAACATTTTTTCTTTGGATTCATCAGATTCTAAGAGAGGTTCATTAAACTGTCCTATCATGATTGTGGAAATTATATAAAATGTTTCCCTTTTTAAAATCTCAAAACAATTGTTAGACTCGTAACATTTTATTTTTGTTATATTTTCTGGTCTACTTACTACTTTTATCATCATATCCTTCTTCATTCTTGTTCAGTATTTCAGGCTTAATTTAGAATTCTATCAATAAGGTAATACCTGCTTTCTTTTGACTAGCATTTGCTAGATATTTAGTTCTTTTATTTTCATGGTGAGTCTGTCATATTTTAGGTTTGTCTCTTGTAGAAAGATTATAATTAGGTTAACAAATATCCAACCTAATAGCTTATCTTTTGACCAATGCATCTATTTTGCTGATATTTATTATTGTGTGTTCTTTTGACTTGTGCTTTACTTTGTTTTTCTTCCTTACTTGCTTCCATTTGACAGTAGAATTTTATTGAAACTCTTTCTCCCTTTCAAAGTGTAGATACTATATATTCTATTTTGATTCCTTAAGAGTCACACCTCAATATTTTATAATGAAGGGTGACGTGTGTGTGTGTGTGTGTGTGTGTGTGTGTGTGTGTGTGACCTTGGTGACTATTGCTTTAATTTAAATCCATTATTCCCTTTCATTTTTTAATTCTTTAATTACCTTTTACTTCTTGACACAAAACATATTTTATGTTTAATATTTAATTATATGTTTAATTTCTTTAATTCTACTTCTACTATCCTTTTCTTGCCTCCATTACATAAGACTTCATGCCAGAAGGTGATACAATGAGATCATTAATAGGGTTGAGTAAGTTTTAAATGAGGAGTAGTTTTGCTTTCTTGAGATATTTTCCTGGCTATTTTTCCAATATGTTTTATACTCTTTTTTGTGGACAGCCTTATATTTTCTGGGGCCAAGAGTGTAAGTAGACCATATTAATGATGAAGATCCATCTAACTTATTTTGAAATATTATAGAAAATCCATTTAGACATCTGAGATTTAATGTTCTCAAGGCAACACTACTGTCTAAAAACATTGTACATCAAAATTGCCTCCAGAAGACTAGATTTTTAAACTTCACAGAGTATTTAAGTGTAAAAATAAACATGTAGAAAAGTGTGCACAATTTGATTCCAAAAATTTTAAGTATAAATGTTTGTGTGCACATTTTTGTCTACCCATTCACTTTTGTTTAGACTTAAATCAAACTAATGAAAACTACATCCTAAATTGTTAGTCAAGGATTCCTAGACTGAAGTGGTAAGAGTGGAATAGCACGGGAGAGGCAAGAGGCCACCAGACCAATAGACTAGCTGACCTAACTGCAGTAATCATTTCAGTGTATATCAAAGCATGTCATAAAACTTAAAAATATAAAATAAAATATACATTGAAAATAAAATTAAATGCTACACTAAAACTCAAAGTGTCACAAAACCTAACAAGCTTGTTACCCATTTATATAATTATCTATAATAAAAAGTTGTATAAAGATAATTAAGTCCATCAATAAAATTAATATATAACAATAAGGTTTTGGGGAAGAAGAACCGTAAGTCTTTGGGAAATGGTAGATGTCACACAACTCTTTCATTGGGGAATTTGTATCAAGGATTTCAAATGTATCACCTAAAAGAGATCAGTGTTCAAATTCTCCCCCTGCAAGTAGTCATGTATTCAATATCTCAATAAAATACAATGGCAATAAGCAATTACTCAAGTCTCTCTGGTGTGAAAGACTTTCGACAATTCTATCTACTACAGATTCAGGACTCCTGAAAAGGTTTCCTACTGGCAAACTGTGGGGTTTACCTTCTGAAATAAGCTTTCAGAGTACAATGAAACAAAATAGAGTAGAAAGTCATGCATTTTTAGAGTTGAGTAGTCTGAGATATTTCTGTTTCCTCAGCCCTAAAATGGAGATGGCAGTGATATTACTCACAAGATCTTTGGGAGAATTCAATCACATAACTTGTGCAAAGCTTTCATTAGGGTGCTATGCATATAAAAAAGGTTCAGTGGAAACATCTAAAAGAACACAGAATTAATATCCAACTTCTTGCAACACAGATTCAGGAGAAAATGATTGGGACAAACTTTAGCTACTCAGGACTATTATTTGAACTGATTTTGTGTGTGTGTGTGTGTGTGTGTGTTGTTTGATATCCTGTTAAAGATTAAATATTATAATTAAGGAAGTCATTCACATTGAACCTACTGATAAATATCAGGTTCAGTAACTGGAAACAGTAACAACAAGACAAAGAAAGAAATGGAAACCAGCCTTTCAAAGATTAGTTGCTCTAATTAATGCCATTAATGAGAGTTACCAACAATGCATTCTTTATTATCATGCAGCATTTCATCTTTTGGGTGCATTGCAACATATCAGTGTTACTTCTGTACAACTCCAGGTAAATCACTTGTCCTCTCACTGTGTCCATTGCCTCATGATATCAGTTAGGGTCTTCGCTAGGGAAACCCTAAGTTCTATTTCAGTTTTAAAATACTATGACTTTATGAACACAAAGCAGCTCAAGTTCCAGTTTTCTACTCTGAGTCAACACTCAAGAGAATCATGAAAGAGCTCCTGTTTGAGTCTGTGCATTTATTTTCTAGGTCCAGAATCTTTTCTCTCTTCCTCATCTGCTGACCCCACTAATTCTTCAAGTTTCTTCTCCAGATATTTTTTTAGCGTCTTTCGTATTGTCTGCATTTTCCTCCGATGAGAGACACACATATAGAATCTAGATAAAGAAGATATCCCAACTTCAATGTCAGTAGCCCCACTCTTTAAAACAATTAGATAGTGTTTTCTTCTTTTCTGGATACTTCTCTTCCATTTCCTTATGTTCCAACTATTATCCCATCAAACTTCCATCCATTTCATTCCTGCCAGTATCATTTCCCAGATTTTGAAATGACTTCTTTCCCTTTTTTCCACTGGGGAAGGAGGAAGTTTGGGTGATCTCTCTGGCAAAGGAAGGCTTGACCCATGTTTATTTGGAGGGAGGAAAACTCACAGTAACACAGCACTTGCCAATATTCCAGCTTCTGCCAGCAATACAAGAAATAATGTAATCTCTCGCTGTTCAGCCTTCCTCGGATCCTCTTCTGGAAGGAGAAAGGGAAAAAATGAAGTAAGTTTTGGAGAAGAAGAAATTGTAACCAGGGACCTTTACCCAGAATTGAGTCTTAACTTCAATTTGCCCTGATCGCTACTTCGTCACCATTCTTGATCTTTCTGACTTGATTTTAGATGCCTAGGTTTTACAAAATTTTGCCCTTGATGTCCCTAGATGATGTTCCTAGACTAATTTCTCCACCTCTATCCCTTCATTTCCCAGCCCTCTAATTGGCTCACAACTGTTAGTCATATGGGTGCAAATTTATTTTAGCTCTTATTTCATAACATTTTCCATGGAAAAAGTACTCAACAAACTTTAAATAAATCAATGGAAAACCCAATTCCTTGATCCCTAGCACCTCGTATAACCACACCACAGTTTATGTCACCTCTACAATATTCTCCTCTGAAGCACCGGGTGGTGATGCGAAGACAAGTCCAACAATCAAGGACAGGACCTTCAGTCACAACTGATAAAAAGAAAAAAAATAATCAGAAGCAGGATGTCAACAAGAGGTTTCCTCGGTCAAACATCAAGTATGGATTAGATCTCAGGCATTCCCAGGACAATTAGGTTTCATTGCTCTGAATTCTTTCTTTCCCTTATAATCAAGTTTCTTAAAGCATTAGAACCTATAAATTAAGTTATATCTCTGGGGAAGCAATAGGGAAAATAATGCCTTAGCTTATAATGGGGTACTAGGTTGTAAACTATAGCTTTAGGAAACTTCTGGGTATGTCCTTAATCTGAGAAGTGTCCATGATTTCCTAAGCTAGATTTTTATTATCAGATACTATTGACATTCCCCCTTGTAACAAAAGCTCCAGGAACTAGGTTCTTAGTGTTAACAGATGGGAGAGAGATAGAGCCATACAGAACAAGGGCAGAAATCTCACGGTGTCACATGTACTGTACTCACTGCAATCTTCAGAACAAGCTAAAAGAGAATCAGAAAGTTCTAATGAGTTTAGCATCAACTTAAGAGTTTACTTATACCCACATAGTAGTCTTTGTTTACCCATTAAGTTCTGGCTGCCCTCCAACCATTCTCATGGCTGCCATCTGCACCCTCTTGGCTCTTCTCACCCCTCCCTTCCTACTTCCTTCACATAATTGCAGTGTGGTTGAATGGAAGTGTTTCATTACCAACTTCAGAGAAGGCCGTTAATGTTTCTTTCACTTTGGGTTCCAGTTTTTGGCGGATCTCAAGAAGCTTGCCTTGAAAGATAAAGACACCTAAGAGGGAATGGGGGAGGTATCAGAAATCCCAATGGCTCTTCTTGTCATTATTTAATTCTCACTGTTGCCTTGTTTGCCCCAATTTCCTCAGACTTACTTGAGCAGTATGAACTTTTGACAATGAATTAGTACCTCACCTTTCCACGTTTCATTGCCCAGTCTATAAAATTCGTTCTTCAGCCATGTTCTCAACTTGACAACCTTTTGAACAGCTGGAGGGGAAGAGAGAAGACACATGCGTGGGAATAATTACGTCTGTGGAGGAAATCGTGTGGCCCCAGGTGTTCTCTCCCCTGCCTCCCTTCTCCCATTAACCCCCCCCAAACTCTCAGGGACTCATGCTTCCCTCACCCAATACCCGAAGCATCTTGTTCCCGTGGGAGACCTTGGAGCTTAAATGGATCGTCTCCTTAAACTGCCGTTCAAGCAGTTGATTTCGGCCAGGGACTTCTGAGGGTACCAGATTTGTCAGCAGGGTCCTAATATCCTCTATGAATTTGGGGTCACACTCCAAACAGCCTTTGACCCCATGGAGGGCTGCCAGGGATAGTGGCAGGAGCAGGAGTAACCACAGGTCACCCATTTCCTTGCCCCAACCCCCCCTCTCCCCAACAGCAGGTTGTCCTGGAAACTAGTTCACTTAGTTCCTTTTCCTTCAAAATCCCAGGAATGAGAGCCTTGTCCAGGATATTCCGAGTCCACCTCTCCTTCCTTTTCCATCTCACTTAAATCTCATTCCCCTAAGGATCTTCTGTTGTTTTCTGACTTTTATCTTTCATTCCAGAGAGAGGGAACTGCCAGCTGGGGAGAGTTACCTGAGTTCTGAGTGTAGAACACCAGGGGAGAGAAGCCTTGAGCTCATACAAGTGGAATTCTGTGCAGGGAGATTCTCAGAAATAAGTTTCTTTAGCTCCCTCTCTCTTCGTCTTGTGTGCTAGTAGATTCCCATACTGCTTCTGCCTGTTTGAATGATGTGTCAGTAAAGATGGAAGGTTTAACCCAAACTCTACATCTACAGAGGAGGTAAGAAAAGCCAAGAATACTGAATTGCTGGGTGCCCAGTCCCTATTGGTAGTGGTAATTGTTGAGAATTAAGGAGTGGACATTTATATAGACAATAATTGATGATGTAAATATAATTGATAATTTATCAGAAATTTCAGTCTACATTGGTCTGTGGTATGATTCCTTCAGCCATCCTTTGTAACATTTTTATAGCATTCTAAAAGAGGATTTGTAGCCAAAGACTGGAAACAACAGTTGAGTGATAGACATGGGTCAGTGGGAATTCAGTAATGTTCAGGGTGCCTTAACAGTTGCATCCTGAAATACTGATGAAGTTTATAACATAAATATAGTTATTATGTGCTGCCCTCTCAAGCCACTTTCATGCAAGGTGGCCAAATAAGCATGTTTTTCCTTCAGTTTGTGGCTCTTCAAATAAGAATCTTCTTTGTTGTTTAAGGAACAAAGGTTGCTTTGCAGACTTGTAAGAGTAGCAGTTACCTATTTGCTAAAATATTCCATGTGTGGTTATATCTCCTTGAAACCAGGAATCCCTGGCACTCTACAATGTTAGTAGTAGATTTTTTTTCTTTCTATATTATTATTCTTTTTAAAGAAGAGAGGAGAGAGAGAGAGAGAGAGAAAGAATTTTAATATTTATTTTTTAGTTCTCGGCGGACACAACATCTTTGTTTGTATGTGGTGCTGAGGTTCGAACCCGGGGCTGCATGCATGCCAGGCGAGCGCACTACTGCTTGAGCCACATTCCCAGCCCCCTTTCTACATTATTTTTATCGGTGCATTAAAGTTGTACGTATGATGAGATGTGTCCATGCACACAAAATAATAATGTAACTTGGCCAATATCACTCCCAGCACTTCTCTCCTCTGTTTCCTACCATCGGTCCCTGGTTCTTTTCCTCTACTTATCTCCTTTTGATTTTCAAGAAACTCCCAACCTCTCCCTTCCTTTTCCTTTTTCCTCTTTAACTTCCATCTATGAGAAAACATGACCCTCAACCTTTGGTGATTGGCTTATTTCACTTGACATGATCTTCTCAAGTTGCATCCATTTTCCTGCAAATGTTATAAGTGTACCTACTTTTCTTTATGGCTGAGTAAAACTCCATTGTGTATATATACCAAATTTTCTTCATCTATTCATCTATTGATGGACACCTAGGCTGGTTCCATAATTTGTCTATTGTGAATTGTGCTGCTGTAAACCTGCATATGCATATATCACTATTAGTATGAAGACTTTATTTCTTTAGGAGACACATCAAGGAGTGATGTAGCTGGTAATATGGTGGTTTCATGCCTTTTCAGGAACCTCTATACTGATATCCATAGTGGTTGTATAGTAGCAGAATTTAAATCTAGGTATAGGATTAGTCATGGAGTGGAAAATAGTGAGAGAAGTGAAAAGAACTATCATTACCTGTATCCTATCATGTGAACAGATTTTGTGCCTGTGTTTCAAATCAATCATCTATCACAAATCCTCATGGCTTGTCAGTGCTTTGAGAGATTGTCATCTTCAATTTATCCAATAAGAAATGGAGGCTCAGAAATGCGAAGAAATCCTTATGGCAATAAAATTAATAGTTATGGACCCAGGATTCAAACTCGAGTCCATCTGACTCCAATATATCTCTCAACAACCATTTTCCAGAATAATACAGAAAATGATCTCTTACAATTTGAAACATTAGGAGATAGGGGCCAGCTTTCTGTTGCCAATCTATGAATCATTGCTTAAAATTAGCATGTCTCATCTTTTATATTCTTTTAAGTATGTGGTCTCATCTTTAAAGGATCCTTTTAAGGGGTTTCACATGCCCAGGTTTGAAGGCAAGTTAACCAATTGGATAAAATGATGTCTAGAACCAAAGTTGGAGACTAAGCAGGCTAAGAAGCCTGGCAAGCAGTTGGCCACATATGAGAATTAACCGATCCTCAAGACAAATTTATGTTACATGTGTTTTTCAGTCAACAGAGAAACTTTTGGACAGAATACAGGTAGTTCTCTGCAACATTACTGAATAATTAAAACTTATTCCAATGGCACATTATCTGAAACCAGACCCAGTGGCCCATCTACTATTTTTATCTCTGCCTCATTTTTCTAGTTAAATTTTCAGTCTAAGATTTTACGATGTGAGAAAAAAAGTCATTTAGCGTTTCCATGGTTTGAAAAGGCTAGAAAAAGGGAAGTCACTTCCTAATAAGACAAGGAGGGCTTATAAATAAAGGGAACATGTAAAAGGGATAACAATGGGGGGTGATTCTTGCTCATGGAATGAACAGTTACTAGTGGTAGAATATGTGCTGATGAGTGAGAATCCAGCAATACTCAAGAATCCTTAGGGGGAACACTCTGAAAGTACTGATGATAGAATGCATAACATATCAGAAAATATTCACAATTATCAGGATAGTCTTTAGTTTCATAAGTATAGAATATTTGAACTACAAGAAAGAAGGAGTGTCTGTAAATGATCACTTTACTTGTTTAAATAACAATAGTTGTGTCTAGAAGACAAAAATACTAAAACCCAAATCATGGATTGATTATGCTAGTGTTGCATGAAAGGGCATGATTTAGAGTCTGAACAAATTTGTACAATTGGTAGCTGAACTCTATTGGCTTAAAATAGTATATCAAGTACAAAGTGATATTTTATCTATATTATACAAAATATGTATTTATTTATGTGTGGCACTTATAAAATATTGCTGGGGAGTTCTTTTATACTACTAACACTAATATAATAGTGGGGTACCAGTGTACCTAATTCATAAATTTGTTTGCAGCATTTTGACTTTATTACGAATCATATAATGCACTGAGGTTCAAAATTTGAAGTACCAGTTTCCTAAAAAAGAGCAAGCAGCTTCTTAAATTTGCTTTCATCCCCTGGCATACTGATTTCCATACAGATCCATAAATAAAAATAAGAATCTTGCCAGGTGTGGTGGTGCATGCCTGTAATCTCAGTGTCTCAGGAGGCAGGAATATTGTAAATTCAAGACCATCCTCAGAATCTTATTGAGGCCCTAACAATTTAGCAAGACCCTGTCTCAAAATTTAAAAAAAACTTTTAAAAATTAAATAAAGGATGGGGATGTTGTTCAATAGTTAAGCTCCCCTGAGTTCAATCCCTGGTACAAAAAATTTTAAAAAAGAGACTCTATGGCCAATTTTTAAAGTGAAGGATCTCTTAAGCTGGAGGAAGAAATGTCTAGGAGGCATATCATTTAGGAAGTGGCATGGGTATTGCTGGAGGCTTTTTGCCAAGTTTATTGTGATATTCAGGGGCAGAAGGCAGAGCCTAAAGAGTTGAAAAATTTGGGCTTGAAATGTGAGAGTAAAACTGGGGCTATGGAAGTTATAGTTGTCAAAGACATTATTACCACTAAAGAAATGCTAAAGACTTTGCACAGAGACAGTAAGATGGCCTGAAGGCATCTAAAGAATTAGAAAGATCATATCTTTCTCATTAGAAGAGACTAGTGGGATACCTTTCTTGCACAAGCAGGCCTAGGAAGTTTTTTTGACATGCTCAGCTATCCAGGTACTCAGAGGCTGCTGCAGCCAGGGTGCTGGAGGCCTGGCTACTGCTGGAGATGGAGGCAGACCTTGATGTCAACCACATGGTGCTGGTTCTTCAAGAATGCAGAATTCTGGAGTTAAGGGCTCATTAAGCTTCCACCAAGATTTCAGAGAAAGGCCTGGGAAGTCAGGCAAAATGCAGCAGGGTCAGAGTCCCTGCAGGCACCCTTTGACTGTGTAAAGTGTAGAGATGTGAAGAAGAAGCCAAAGCTACAGTGGAGATCCTAGAGATTAAGAAAGGCCAATAATGTGTGATTTTATCTATTGAGGCTATAAGGACTCTTGGTTTTGAAGTAAATGTATTTTGCATTGTTAGATGAGTGTAAGCTTTTGGGGACCAGGGGTGGAATGGTGTAGTTTGAATGTAAGGTGTTCCCCAAAAGCTCACATGTGAAAGACAATGCAAAAATGTTCAGAGAAGAAATGATTGGGTTACCAGGATCTTAATCCATTAATTAATTGATTGAGTTGTAATTGAAGGCAGGTAGAATGTCCTTGGAGGAGGTGGGGCATGGATTTGGGGTATACATTTGTATCTGGCAAGTGGAGTCTCTCTCTGCTTTCTGATCATCATGTGAGCCACTTTGCTGTACCACACTCTTCCTCCATGATGTTCTGCCTTACCCTGGGCCCTGAAGAATGGATCTTGCTCTATATGGACTGAGAACTCTGTGAGTCCTCAAATAAACTTTTCCTCTTCTACAATTGTTCTGGTCAGATCTTTTAGGCACAGTGGTGAAAAAGCTTAATAAAACATAGCACAAGCTTCTTATTTCCCCTTTGAGGAATTATGAATTATTTGCCCTCATTGAGACCTGCTATATTGTTTTTTATCAGTACCACTTCACAAGATTCCTTAAAAGACTACCAAATAACCAAAGTTTCTTTTGTAGTCAGGTGAGAAAATCCCTTTTGTATCACATTTCGAACTATAATTTGAGATTAGGAAGCCATTGGTTCCTATTTGATTATGTTACAAGATGTCTTTCTAGGCAACATTATAAGTGCTGAAATAGTTCCTACATACCAGGCATTTCACATGTCAAGTAGGTTTAATATCTTCTGTGCACCTCCTAATTATATTCTATTATCATTAAGCCTTCTCTCTTTCTCTTCTATTTATCCATTAGGAAAAGTTGTAAGATTTAGTAAATTATTAGGTAGCCTGGAAGACTCTGAAGGCTCATCTTTCTGATGGGAAATTGACTCAAAGAAAATTCAATTCCTTTAGGAGACAGTGTGGGAAGAGACAACATAGGTAGAAGTATGTCTTATAATTTCTCTCTAGGCTAGGATCCCAGAAGGTAAAATATATTAGATAGGCTAAGGGAAATGCTAAATGAATATGAACCATTTTCTTGCTTCCTTTAGGGCTTTGAAGGCTATACTAAGTACCCACACA